CAAGACTGTTGCATTGCTGGAAATCCAAATTCACAGATTTATCCCCATTTAGGTGCTGGGAACACGTTGCTGCCACAGCAGGAAATACCAATGCATCCACTGTCTCTGGCCTGGTATGCTGAGGATCTTCTTTAGCCACAGCAGCTGCAGAACTGTGGCCAGCAGACAAAAAACCTTGCTCCACTGCTTTTGTTTCTTCAACTGGACTTTTTGGGATAACAGATAATTCAGATTTTCCTGTTTCTTGCTGGAAGGCAGGAGTGAGCAGTTCATCCATGTCATCAGTTATGTCCACTTCCTCATCATCTGACAGCTTCTCGATTTTCACCGCGTTCAGGTTGGGGTCTGCACGGCCTCTCAAGTTTCCAGCTTCCCCCCTTGTCCCATCTTCTGTGGGAAGGCTGCTCCCACACTGACTTTGCTCTTCTTTTTCTGAATCACCATTTTTCGCCTTAAGAAAATAGAAATAATTTTTAGGAGGTAAAAACAAATGAAAACTATCTGCCTCCCAAATAATCAGGACTGTTTTATTTGAACAGCAGATATTCTGAAGTGTTTCCTCTTCAATTTATCGTTTTCATTTCGTTTAATCCATTGCAACTGACTTTTACACAGCACTATAGGTAAACTTTAGGCCAAGTATAAATTTACATGCATTTCTAGTCAAAAAGCCCTAGGAAGTAGATATTTCTTAAAGCCCATGAAATCTCAAATGAGGCTGAAGCTAAAACTACAACACACAGCAGAAAGAGCTGTATAGTGGAAAACTAGGATTTTCAGACTAACAACCAACAGTGTAAGGGACCACAATTATACTGCATTTATTGTTTAGTTATACCAGCAACAAAAACAGTGGTCACTTTAGGAACTTGAAATCAGGCCTGACTTTGCATTTAAATCTGCAAATAACGATATTCCACTTCTCTGAATAAAAAAATGATTAAAGTACCTGCTTTGACAGCAGTGCCCTGAAAAGACAGATAAAAACCAAGCTACCCACTGGCAAACACCTTTCTGGCAGCTCCAGGGATGCTCCAGTTACCTTGTTCCTGAAGTACTGCCGGGCATAGCTCTTGACTTGCAGAACTGTTCGAGTGCCGATCAGTTTGGCAATTTTCGTCCACCTGCGGCCAAATTTCACCTGAAAAACAAAGTACATGGAAGTGACCCCAACTGTGACATCCCAGACATGGCACTGCATGTGTCAAATGAGTTCAAAACCTCATCATTCATTAAAATGCACAAACACCACAGCAAACCCATAGTAAAGAAGCTCACTATCTATGTTCTACCAAGAAGTAAACTGCATCCAGTAGTAAGAATTATTGTTATTCTTAACTGAAGGATCTTCTTCACCCATTTCAGGCACTCTGCTGCCTGTTATCCCAAGGAATCCTTGTGCTTGGCAAAGCAAACCCTTTTGCAATTGGCACAACCATATAATCTCTGCAGACCTTGCAACAGTAAAGGATTTTACTTCATTACCTGATTTGCCTTCAGAACACACTCTACTATACTTCTCATAGTTAATGCAGCATTGTGATAATACAACATGCTTATTCATGTCAACTACTTTACTGTTCAAGATGAACTCATTAATTCAATATAAAATATTTTATATATATATAAAACAAACTCACCAGTCCTTGTTCAAACAGCTCTTTTTCCTCTGATGTCCACTTCAAGGAACAGCCAGGTGATTTTGTAGGTGAACGCACCCTGGGAATGCAGGAAGCAGAAATCAGAGCTTTCCCAAATCCAAATATTCTCCAATCCCTGTCACTCAAGGCACTCTCTGACAGGAGGACTACTCCCCATCTTTGGCAAAACTCAAAGTATTGCTCTAAACATGAATGTGACTCATAAATAAAATACTGAGAATCACATCAGCTTCTCCATCATGATGGAACATTCAAAGCAATTCAATATTCATCAGTGACCAATGGCACAGAAATACATCAAAGCAGGCAACAGAAAAGTTCAGGTAAAAAGGCAACTAGAATTAACAAATTTTTATCATAAAGACCACTGTGCTACCAAAAAACTCCCCAAACCCTGGTTTACTCTAGACTCTTGTTACACACAATATTTCTTTCTGTTGTAAGGTCTCTGAAATAATTTTTTATAGCCAAACAAAACAAACTTTAATTTTTTAAAAATAGTATCTGGTAACTTAAAATCAGACACCATACTTAAAAATACCATTCAATTGTTTAAATGTACATACATGACTTTTCCAGTTTTCTTATGTGGGCTGCAAATGCAAGAGTGAAAATAAAAATTAGTAATTGTGCTGCTGGTGCATATCCAGCAAATAAGAAGGATTTTAGAAGGACTTTTCATTTCTACTCAGCTAACTAAGAATTCATCCCAGACAGATCTTACCTTTTCACAGGTCTTTTCTCCACTTCCTTTTGGTTGAGCCATATTTTTTCAGAAAGTGATTTATTGGATAAATAATATCTGAAATAGTCATTAAGTTTCCAAACTTCCAAATATCAGAGATATTTGCACATGTGAGGATTTTAATAATCAGATAAATTACAATGCTCCAGAATTACCCAGCTGCAGAAACAAAAACTGCAGTTTCTACAGCAGGATTTCTGCAATCTACTTAGAAGTTGACAGGGTGTCAGTCACCTTAACAGGCAAAGATTTGTCCAGTTCTTTTGGAAATTGGAGGTTTTTTAGCATTCTACAGGAAAACATAAAACCAAATCAGCAAAAGGATACTCTTCTTCCAGCAACATCTTCTCAATGACAGCCCTGTTTTCTTCACTAATGCTGCTGTCCAACGTCCAGGGCTGCAAACAACAAAAACACATTTTAATGTCTGAATTCTGTCACACTGCATGTGAGTACTGACAATAGTTTGTAAAAGTAAGGAAGAAGCAGTGGTTAAAAACCTAAAAGAGCATGTGCATGGAGGGAAGAGAGAACACAGAAGCTCTGATAACCTTGCTACAAGCAGCATTGATTAAAAAAATACTTACAAGACTGTTGCCAGTTCTCCAAGATGAATCAAGATAGTGGTCCTGCAGCAGGCTTGATGCTGTGTTTTCATGATCTCTGAAAGAGATCCCAGTGTTCAGAACCATTGTATTTTTAATATTGAATGTCATTGAGTTGCATTATCTCCACTTAACACTTCTACATCTTACCCCCAGTAAGGTAAAAGCATTTTCTTGTAAAGGCAAACTGCTTTTCCTGCTGAGGAGAGCTCCTGCTTGCACAAGGTTTAATAGAATCCTGTCATACAGGGTTGTTAGAACCATAGAGTAAAATCTGGGAATGGTTTGGTTGGAAGATCATCTCATTCCAACCCTCTACCATGGACAGGGACATCTCCCACCAGACCAGGTTGCTCCAAGCCCTGTCCAACCTGGCCAGGGCTCACTACCCTTACAGGGAAGAGTTTCTTCCCAATATTTAATCTCGTGCTCAGACTTAATTCAGTTTTTATTAAATCTTTTCTGTAAATAACTACTAGTTAGAGATCTGTCACTGATTCATGTCATTGATCAACTTCCTTTTATTTTCATGCAGCATAAGATCTCCTTAGTAATTTGTGTAAGTACTTGTTTTCAAAAATCTTTACTTCCAGAACATTGTCTTGTCTGGAGACTAATTAGGCCTATATTCCCTGCAGTGCTACTAAATTAAACTCTCCTACTGCTCTGAACTGCTTCGTGCAGCACTTCAAACATCTCTTTATAGGATAAAGGATCAGGATGAGTCTCCATCTCCAGAGATCAATCAATTCCTGCTTCTTCTTGAGCATACCCAGGAGAGGGTGAGATCAAGAGCCCCCTTTGGCAGCAGCCTGTCTGCAGTGGCAGGGGCTACCTGAGGCCAGAGTCTCTGCTACAAACCTCTCATTCTCTCCCAGCACCTGCAAGTGCTCGATTTGAGGCACTGCAGTCACTGCCTACCCACTTCAGCATCCCTTATCTGTGAATCTGCTGAAGCCCAGGGAGCCAGTGGAATGTTGGGCTGCACCAAAAGCAGCACGGTCTGCCCTGGTGAGACCTCACCTGGAGTGAGGTGCTGCATCCAGCTCTGGGGTCCCCAACATAAGGATGCCATGGAAGTGTTGGAGCAAGCCCAAGATGTTGGTAAGAGCACTGGAGCACCTTCCCTACAAAGATGGGCTGGGAGAGGGGGGCTGCTCAGCCTGGAGAAGAGAAGGTTGTGTGGAGACCTGATGGCAAACTTCCACTAGCTGCAAGGTCTACAGGGAAGGGGGACTCTTTGCAGGAACTGCAGCGATAGGACAAGGACTAATGGGTACAAACAGAAAGAGGGAAAAATTTGGTTAGATATAGGAAGAAATTCTTTACTTGGGGATGGTGATGCCCTGGCACAGGTTACCCAGGGAGATTGTGGATGCCACAGTCCTGGCAGTGTTTAAAGCCTTGAGCAACCTGCTCTAGTGGGAGATATCCCTGTTCATGGCAGAGGGGATGGGATTAGAATATGTTTAAGATCCCTTCCAATCCTTAACATTCCATGATTCTATGGACCCGTTTTCTGCACCTCCCTCCCGGCGTTCAGCTTCCCGAGCCTCCCTCGCTAACCCAGTTACACAACCCAGCACCATCTCCATGGGTATTTTAAGGATTCTCCCAGCAGCCTCGCAGCGCTGTTCCGGGCTCTGGGGATCCCATGACGGCGGTTCCGCCTTCTCCTCACACCAGCGCTATCACAGCCCCGTTCGCAGTGCCCTTCCCGACGGTGCCCCGCACCGGCGCTGCCCCCTCTCCCGGGGCACTCCGTGACATTCCAAGGTCTCTCCCGGAGCGGCGGAAAGCGCCCGGCCCGGGCCGCCCCCTCAGGAGCGGCTCTGCCCTCACGCCCCCCGCGCTCCGCGGGGGCACGGGGCGCGCCGGCCGAGCCGCAGCCGGCCCCTCGCGGCCCTCACTCACCCCGGCGCGGCCGCTGCGTCCCCCTCGATGTCCACCTCGGGCTCGTCCGCCGCCGCCATGACAGCGGGCCCGGCGCTATCGCGGGAAGGGGCGGCGCGGCGGCGCGGAGCTGGGCGGGAGCAGCGCCCGGAGGAGCGGCCGCGGCGGAGGCGGAGATGGCGCGGGGGTAGGCGGAGCGCGGGACGGCTGGGGCGGCCGGCGAGCTGGGGGACAGGGCCGGGCAGTGAGGGGACACGGTCGGGAACTGAGGGGACATAGCCGGACTGAGGGGACATGGCCGGGCCGAGGGGACATGGCCGCCGCTGACGGGTCACGGCCGGACTGAGGGGACACGGTCGCTGCTGAGGGGACATGGCCGGACTGAGAGGACATGGCCGAGAGCTGGCGGGTCACGGCCGGTCTGGGATCACAGCCGGTCTGAGGGGACATGGTCGCCGCTGAGGCTGGGCTAAGAGCGAAGGGGAAAGGGGTGACAGGCGGGTCCTGAGGGGAGTGCGGGAGGCGGCGATGGAGCTGGAGCACACCTGGTGAGGGGCACCCACAGAGGTGTGTGCGGGTCTGGGCCCCTCACTGCAAGGAGGACATGGGGGGCCTGGAGGTGTCCAGAGCTGGAAGGGAAGGGTCCCAGCACAAGTGTGAGGAGTGGCTCAGGGGCTCAGCCGGGAGAAAAGGAGACTCGGGGGTGACCTTTTCTCTCTCCACATCTCCCTGTCAGGAGGGTGAGACGGGTGGGAACGGCTCAGCTCCCAGGAACAAGGGGCAGAACAAGAGGAAAAGGCCTCAGGTTACACCTGGGGAGGTTTAGATTGGATATTAGGAAAAAATTCTTCACAGAAGAGGTGATTAAACATAAAACACCCTGCCCAGGTTGGTGGTGGGGTCCCCATCCCTGGAGGCGTAGAAGACTGGACATGGTAGTCAGTGCTCTAGCTGACTGATTGCTCACAGGTTGGACTGGATGGTCTTGGAGGTCTTTTCCATCCTAAATGGTTCTGTGATCCTCTGAGCACACTCAGGCTGTGTGCCCCTATGTCCTTCAAGTTCATGGGCATGTCTGTTCCTTCACCAGGCATTGCTGGGGTCAGGTTAAAGTGTTGTTTTACCAATAACAAAAATCAGCTTTAGTCTCATGCATTCTTAAATCTGTGTTTTGTTTCTCAAAAGGTGTTTGGGTGTTTGTGGTAACTTGGCTTGTAATCTGAAGGGAAGTGTAAGGGCTGATTATCATTATTAGGGAAAATAACCCCAGAGAACTTTCAGTTGATTCAGAGTGTTTCTGTTTATATTTGTGTTGTCATCTCAATACAAATGTTTTGAACCAAGAAACTTTGTTACAACCTTTTTATTCTACATATTTTGTCTTTGTTCTGGAATAAAAGTGAAATTAATAAACAGCAAATGTGATGGTTTTTGTTCTCTCTATTTAAAAATGCAAAATCTAGACAATGGTATTACAAAAGATAGAAAGAAAAATAATTGTTAATTATTGTCGTAGTCTCAGAAATACCTTGAGGAAATACAGACATTTTCCTATTCATAATAGATTTTTTTAACTTGTGATTTTGCCAAACAATGCCTAACTAAGCTATCCATACAGGCTAATATTCACAGATATATGAAAAGATATTTTCTGTCTTTGTCTTGATTTATACTAGAAGACTTCAAACACAATGTTTATAAGGCAAGAGCATTTTAAATAGATCCCAAATATGTGATTCATGAGAGAACCAGAAGACTAATGAGTACTTAAAAGTTTAACAGTGTCTTTTAAGATCCTTTTTTCCCAAGATCATCTTTGCTAACCTAATTCTGCCAGCCCAAGCATAATTCTCAATCATATTCCACATTAGGACTATCCAAATTACAACAAAGAGAATTCTGCACTTAAATGTAAAGTTTTTTCCTTTACATCTTCATTTTGTTATTAACATTTTCTTTCTCAACAGCGTTAAAATTCGAGCCTGGTTTTCTGTGTTATTAAACTCCGCTACTTGCAGCGGAGTCTTTCTGAGGCTGTTGACAGCGAGTAAATTTGCCCTTTCCCCCCGAGCCCAGCTGAGGAGGGCACTGACAGCGCTGAGGTGGCCGGCCCTGCAGGCGCAGTGCAGGGCAGTGTCCCTGCTGCTGTCCGAGGCGTTGATGGCAGCCCCGTGCCTCAGCAGGACGTTTATCAGCTCCCCGTGCCCACACTCCGCTGCAATGTGCAGGGCTGTCTTCCTCCAGACGTTTCTGTCATTGATGTTTTTATTTTTCCCCGAGGCCAGGAGAATTTGTAGGATGTCTGCGTTTCCTTTCATGGTGGCATAGTGCAGCGGGGTGCATCCATCCATGTCCTTAGCTCCAGCTCTCCCTTTCTTAGCCAACAGCGCTTCCACGATGCTGAGGTGTCCCCTCAGAGCTGCAGCGTGCAGGGGAGTCTTCTTCTCCTTGTCCTGTGTGTTAGGATCAGCTCTGGCCTTCAGGAGCATCTCCACCAGTGTTTTGTGTCCCCGCTCAGCAGCCAGATGTAAAGGGGACTTTGCCTGCTTGTCCTGAGCATTAACAGGAGCTTTGTGGTGCAGCAGCTGCTGGGCAGCATCAGCGTGACCTCTCTGACTTGCCATGTGCAGGGGCGTAGCAGAGTCCTTGGTGACAGCGCTGATTCTGGCCCCAGCGCTGACTAAGAGGCCAACGAGTGCCCCGTGGTTCCCGAGGGCAGCCACGTGGAGCGGGGTTTCCTCAGCCTGGTTCCTGAGGTTTGTGTCCATCCCCTTGCTCAGCAGCAGGCCTGCGATGGAAGCAGCCCCAGCCCGCACTGCCAGGTGCAGAGCTGTGTCTGCAGCAGGAGTCCGTATTCCCAAGTTTGCTCCTTTTGCCATTAGAACTTCTGCTGACTCCGCTTTGCCCATTTCACAGGCCAGCAGCAAAGGAGTGTAACGCTTTTTGTTGTGGGCATTGATATCTGTGCCTCTGTCAATTAAAGCTGCTACGACACTGTGCAGATTCTTCTCTACAGCTCTGAAAAGAGCTAACTCCATTATGTCAGCAGACAAGTCTTTGGAATGTTCCAGGAGTATTTTGAAGATGGATGGGTGGTTGCTGTTGAAGGCTCTTTCAACCGTGTTGGAATCAACAGTGGCTCCAGCTTCTAGAAGTACTTTTGCAGTGTTTTCAGATCTCCGAGAGACAGCATAACTGAGAGCAGTCTGTCCTCTCCCATCCTTTGTTTCAGTGGAGGCACCAGCCTCTAAAAGCATTTTGGCCAGGCTGCTCTCATCTCTAAGAGTTGCCATGTGTAAAAAGGTGTGCTGATTCCTGCAGCTCCTTGCCTCTTCTTTCAGGAGCATCTTCAGAATGTGGCTGTGGTTATTCTCTGCAGCCCAGTGGAGTGGTGTCTTGCCTTCCTTATCCAGAGTGTGCGTGGAAGCACCAGCTCGGAGAAGCAGCTTGACTGCACCTCCATGGCCTTTCTCAGCAGCCCTGTGCAGGGCTGTTCTCCCTTTCCTGTCCTTCACAGCCGTCCTTGCACCTTTGCTGAGCAAATGTGCCATGATGGATAGATGGCCATGAGCAGCTGCCACGTGCAGAAGTGTTTCACTGGAGGGGTTTAGCACATTGAGGTCATTATCCTTCAGTGTTTTCTTTAGCTCAGGAAGGGAGCCTTTAGCTACTGCAGCAAAGATGTCAACAGCAGCAGGATCTTTTCTAGGCTTTGTTGCCCTTGAAAGCGGAGTTACTGTTCCTTTCTTCTTAATAGCCCCTTTGTGCTTTTTCTCCCCAGGTCTGTCTTTATTCCCCTGGTGCTGTTCGCTGCTGTTTTCAAACCACACTTTATCTTTTTCAAGTAAATACCCAACCAACTGTCTTCTGGCATCTCCAATGCTTTCATTTACTTCACTGACGTATTTTCTTATCTTGCTGTAAAGTTTTGGCTCCACTTGCTTTAAACATGGATAAAAAAAGAGCCTGCAGGCTCGTTCACCTTGAGAAATGAGTATGTCTAACACCCGAGAGTTCTTTGCTGTTCGTGTCCTGTAGAAACTCAGCACCAGCTTTTTTTCTGGGCTAAAAATACCATTTTCTATCAGCCAGTGCAGGAGCTGGTCTGGGTCATTTATGCCTTGTACAAGTTCTTCTTTTTTAGTCCTTAGGACTTCAATTGCATATGGGTTTGTAAACAGGCTGCTTGAATGCCTGATCATGTTGCTAATCAAAAAGTGAATTGAGGTATTGTTTAACGGAAATAAATAGGAAATAGCAAAGCAGGCTCACATAATTTCAGTCTTTTCATAGAACTATGAACTAACAACCATTGTAGATCAGTGATAAATCTTTAAAGAAATCAAAACTCCCTCACCTTTGAGTTTCTGGTTGTTAAAAGTCCTTTGATCTTCTCTGTTCTTCCTTAGCAACGAGTACAGCTTAATAACAAAACAAAAGTCTGTGATATGTAAAGATATTTCACTTGGAAAGCTTCTTCCAGATTTTTAATTCATAATTAGGGATTAAAAAAATGCTTTTGTGAATCTGGTGTTTGAATAGAAGATAGCTGTTAGTCGAGTTTCTCTGTTCCTCTGGCCAAGCTGGTTCCTAAATGACCAGTCAATTAAACATGACAAAAGAAAATTCATAGCATAGTTACTGTTGCCATGATCACACACCTTGTATGATCTGAAATGAAAGAGTGCACACTGCCAGCTATGCAGGTGAAAACCCTGTAATGTAATGAAGTAAAAGCATAAAGGCCTAGATAAAAATAAACTGTATGAGCAGCTGGTTATAAAAAGTGATCCAGCCTTTCTAATATGAGCTACAACTCCAGTCAGGGGTATATTTAAGGCCATTTAGCTTGTCATTCCTGCTCTAACCCAGAGTCTGTCTGGAAGTTAATTCTTTTACATGAGGTGGATCAAGGCATCTGATTCAGTGTGCAATATTTAAAGTATAATTAGAGCTTCGAATCTGTGTAGTCTTCCATATGGATGTAGGACTTTGGCTGTAATTAATTTAACTTATTGGTGTTTAAATTCCCTGTGGAAGGGAAGGAAATAAAATAGTAATTATCCACACATTTTGAAACCAATTGAGAGAGAAATTGAGATTACAGAGTTTGGGAAAATCTGGAGGTAAAATGAGCTGAAAAGCCAAAAGCTTGACCTTATTTAAGCAAATGGGAAATTTTGCCATCAGTTTCTTATTTCAGTGCCCTTTCTGCTGGGTCCTGCTCCCTTTGCATGTATTTTCTTTAATAGTATGTACAAGGTGACTGATAAGATTTTTAATTTTTTGCTGTTGACTTTAACTTTATAAGTAAGATCGCAAAATTTATTCTATTAAAAAAAAAGTTTTATTGAAGAAATAGCTGGGAAAGGCAAGACTTTTAATATATATTTTGAAAGCCAGCCAGTTACCAAGTCTGCAAATTTGACAGCCAATTTAAGAGCCCAGTAATTCCTCTGAAATGCAAAGAAGGGCACTACACCAAGAATAGCAAAACTTTTGTCATTTAGTTAATGATTGTTATTTCATAACGTGATTTCATGTGGACTGAATGGTGCTCCCAAATCTGCCACTGGCTCAGCCTGTAAGCTGCAAATTATTCAGTCTTCAGATTTGACTGACCCAAGTCCTGAGGATCTCTCCGTGCCTTGAGTGAATCAGTCCTCACTCAGTTTGGGGAAATGGGAGCTTCATGTTGTCATTATTATTCTTCCTGTGCAAAACAGAGATAACAATTCTTGATCACCTTCACAGGAAAGTTGTGAGCTCTGGCAGTGGAAAATGTTATGTGGATGCTGAGCAGAGTTATTCTAGATGGCACAGGAACTTTTTGAACTTCTGAAAGGAATAAAAAAAGATGATATTCTTTAAGATTCCATTAGTATGGCACTAATTTCCCAGTGTTGTGAACACAGGAATTTCCTTGGTCAGCAGGTCCTAGTAGAGATGGAAGGGTGCAGTTCTCCTCCCTGGCCTTGAGGAGGAACATTTGAACAATATTTGCAGGCAGCACCTCTTTCAGAGTCACTTCACTTTATTTTGGAAAGTAACGAGCAGCAAATGATGTGTTATGAGGTGCAAATCACAGTCCTCAAAATATAATTATGCATTTTTTTAAAAAGTTTCTCATTGTAAATATGTGACTTATGAGGAAATTCTGTCTTAAAACAAGAATCATATTTGGCAAGAAAGTTTTGGAAGCTTGTTGTATAGATTTAAGAAATTATGCTTTAAAAGCCCTTATTTTTTAATTATTATTTTAGCCACTTTTAGAATTAAGCCTTTGTTCCAACAGTGACTTCACAAAGAGATTCTAAATCGGCTATTTGAAGCATGCTTTTTTGTTTGTATCTTTTTCACTTACTAACTCACTTTATTTGACATGTAAATGTTTTAGAGAAGGGAAAAATAATAAGGCTCAACACCTCTTCTCTTTTAATTAAGTGCATGAGACCACAGATATGTCAAATCGGCAGTAAACTCCACATTAAAAATAAAATATTTACTATTACCAGAGGTCTAAGAAAACAAGTAAATTGGAGAGAAGGAAGGGGCAAATCTTCGGGCTGCTTTGTTGTCTTTTATATTTATTTTTTGTCACAGGGGCATGAGGTACTTCACAGATCACTTTTATTTCTGCTGGCTTCTTTAGCTCCATGTATCCAAGGACTGGATTATTAGATTATTTTAAAAGGCTATTTATTCAGTTATTTTAAAAAGAAAATGGTGAGCTTTGCTAAATTTGTAGGTTTGAAGGGCAGGTGATGCCCTTGATAGGAAGTATATAAATTCTGGCCTCTGCTGAATAGGTCTGTGCAGGGAACTGTTTAAATCTGGCTCTAGCTGGGACACTTGAGTCAGTTATTTCTGACATGCAATCTCAGTTTTGCTCCTAACTTGTGTCCTTGGGCAAATCCCTTAATCCCTGTTCCCTGTTTACACAAGCATTGGAAAAGGAAAATTTTTTTTCTACCTCACAGACACGTCCTAAGTGTTTATTACTGTTGGTGCAGTGCTTTGAAGTTATAGAGTGCTTTGAAGTTTTTGTCCTTTGAAGTATTGTTTTCTGACTTCTCAGCGATGAACATTTATTTCTTAAATTAACGCGTGCCCGTGTTCTCGAGCTGATTTGATGTTGCCATGTCATCATCAAATATACATTTAATTTTCTCTACTTTAATTTCTCAAAGATGAAAGCGACCCAAAGTACACCTTGAGCGTGGTGGAAGGAGCCCGTGCGGGGAGGTGGCTGCGGGACTGAGGCACCTGCAGAGGTCACCATTCCTCCACCGAGGCTCTTGCCGAGCTGGCTGTGGAATAACCAGCCTGTAAGAGATCATAGAGCCAGCATCACTATCTAAACATCGTGAGGGGTGCAGAAATATCTCTGGGTAATCAAGGCATTTTCCTTAATAAACACGGCTCATGAAGAGAGCTCTGCTTTGGATAACCAGCAATCTGAGTGTGGCCGAGCTGGTTGAGGTGGAACTATATTTAGGCAGAGCTGGATTGAGAAACAGCAGAGCTGGAAGAGTTTGTGGTGATGATTACAGTGAGCTTCACTTGTTAGAACACCGGGAGAGCTGAGCAGACAGGATGTCTGCAAGAGGCAAAGTGCAGAGCTTGGTTTTGCCTAAAGATGAACTGCAGTAAATGAGGGGAATCCAAAGGGGAGCTTTGGTGCCGAGTGGTGAGTTTGTGTCAGTCATATTTCTGTGGAGCAGGCTCAGGGCCTTCCTGGCTGGTGTTCAGATGGGAGCTGTTCCCTGGGGAAGTGCCATCCCCAGTGGCACACACAGAACAGGGATCAGGGGCCTGAGCAGGGCCCACTTGAAGGACTCCTTCACCCACTGAGGGCAGGGACTGCTCATTTGGGCAGTCTGACAGTGTTCTGTGCCTGATTAAGCTCCCATCCCATCCCATCCCATCCCATCCCATCCCATCCCATCCCACCCCACACACCTCTTGGTAGCACAGAGCCACCCCTGTGGAGCCTGGGGCAGGCACAGTGCTTGAAGGAGAGATGTGCAGCAGCCACAGCTTTCCACATTTGTCCACTGCTCATGGATGCTTTCAAAATACCAATAATGCAGCAGCTGCTGTAATACCCCAGGTACTTTATTCTATTTCCAAAACAAGCCACAGTCTTATCTCAGCACTGTAGGGCTGTTTCCTCAGGCATAAACAAATGAAGGTCACATTAAGCACTGCACCCATGCAATGCAAACTGTTCTTTCTCCCAAAGATTAATGAGTACTTCCATGAAGTTCCCAAGCCAGGGTAGCTGTGAGTGGACAGTGCACATCTGCAAAGTGCCACTGATGGCTGTAAATGCCAGCAGAGCAGGCTGGCTGCATCCAGCTCTAGGAAAGAGGCTTAACAAATACATAACTCAGCCTAAGTGAGGATTAGGACTGTTTTCCAGTTCATCATGCATTTAGAAGTGAATTTAAGAAGAGTGACCAAACTATTTAGGAAACATTTTTAGTGCCATTCAGGTTCTGAATAATGAAAGTATTTTTCCAAAGTTCTTCATGGCATTACTTGCCAGGTTGTTTTCTAAAAAGCTACATAGTGGAGGTTGAAGGAAAAGGAGGTTGAAGGAGTTTAGCTTCACAGAGGTAAAGAGCAAAGAAACGTTCTTGTTTCAGAACATAATAAATAAAATAAAAGTTGGTTTGAAAGAAACAGAAAAAAATGTTCTGATTTGATGAATGATATATTTAACTACTGCAAATTTCATAATGCAAAGTTTAAAAAAAATACAATTTTTTTTGTCTAACTGATGATTATCCTATCATTAGGATAAAATGTAAATGATGTAAAAGTATTGAATTATTAAGTGCTGAAGCAGCTTTAAGTATCAGCAAAACTAAATGGAGAGAGGGACAGGGTTTTTCTCCAAAATGGGCAATTTTTTTGCATTGTAAACCAAACAAGTCCTTGTGATTTTGAGTCAGTAGCATGCATTTTGTTAATGAAAAGTTAGAGAAGAAAATACTTTATAGAAGTTCTGTAACTGGTGAAGACAGTGAGGATCTTCCTCACAGCCCCAGCATTGCTCCCAGAAGGGTGTGGTGCTGTCATCTCCCAGAGAAGCCTTTTGGCCAAATTTGCTTTGTAGAGGTAGAGTACTTAGTGAAAACTGCTCTGAAATTACACTAGTACCAAGCAGCATTTTCTTCTTAGTGACCATAAAAAT